TAAGCTATGTTAATGAACTAACCCTACCCTAGACTGGTCTTTCCTCAAGTCAGTTCCCCCATAGACTCAGAACCAACTTGACAAGCCAGTAGGTTTTACTCATACATTGTTCTCCTAATCTATGTTAATGAAACTACATATATACTTGGAAACATGCTTTTCTTCAAGATTCATGTCAATCGTTTTATGGCCCGGGGTGACTCATCTGGTGCTAATGTTATTTCAATGCATATTGTCGATGAGGGGCCTGGTGCCATTCTCTGAGTTTTGAGACATTTCTTTCCTTTAATTAGGAGACTGCTAGTAGCTATATAACATCAAGCAAAAGACTAGCAGGGGGGCATTCTTTCTGCATCCTTCTGATGTTTACATCAGAAGCTTTCTCTATCTCTTTTATACTTATTTAAATTAATTTATTTATTTTAATTGGAGGCTAATTACTTGATAATATTGTAGTGGGTTTTGCCATACATTGACATGAATCAGCCATTGATGTACATGTATTCCCCATCCTGAAACCCCTTCCCACTTCCCTCCCCACCCCATCCTTCAGGGTCATCCCAATGCACCAACCCTGAGCACCCTGTCTGATGCACTGAACCTGGACTGGAGATCTATGTCACATATGGTAATACACATGTTTCAATGCTATTTTCTTAAATCATCACACCTTACCATCTCCCACAGAGTCCAAAAGTCTGTTCTTTACATTTGTTTCTTTTGCTGTCTTGCATACAGGGTCATCGTTACCATCTTTCTAAATTCCATATATATGCATTAATATACTGTATTAGTGTTTTTCTTTCTGACTTACTTCACTCTGTATAATAGGCTCCAGTATCATCCACCTTGTTAGAACTGATTCAAGTGCATTCTTTTTAATAGCTGAGTAATATTCCATTGTGTATATGTGCCATAGATTTCTTATCCATTTGTCTGCCGATGGACATCTAGATCGCTTCCATGTCCAAGCTATTGTAAACAGTGCTGTGATGAACACTGGGGTACATGTGTCTCTTTCAATTCTGATTTCCTTGGTGTGTATTTTAAGCAGTGGGATTGCTGGGTCGTATGGCAGTTTTATTTCCAGTTTTTTATTTTTTAATTTTTTTTCTCTTTTTTTTACTTTTATTTTTTTTCATGTTTCTTTTTTTTTCCCATTTATTTTTATTAGTTGGAGGCTAATTACTTTACAACATTGCAATGGTTTTTGTCATACATTGAAATGAATTAGCCATGGATTTACATGTATTCCCCATCCCGGTCCCCCCTTCCACCTCCCTCTCCACCCGATCCCTCTGGGTCTTCCCAGTGCACCAGGCCCGAGCACTTGTCTCATG